AAGTCTAAAATTATTTCATTTTCTTGTAAAAATATTTGCAATGGTCGTTCGGTATTCCACAATAGTTCTTTATACCATTCAACTAATTCAGATTTCAGAAAATCTTCCGTATCAGTAATACCAAATTTTTGTTTAATGATTAATTTAAATACTTCCAGACCGATTTTATAACTCATCGCCTGACCTGGAAATACTCGATAACGATAAATTTCTGATACAATTGCATTCGATGCCATTGTCAAATATCTCTTGGCTAACTTGATGACATCTTCAGGTGGTGAACCTTCAACATGTAACATAATGTCAGCAATAATTCGAAATGTTCGTAGTATATTCATTTGTAGATAACCATAATAGATCCATTTATCCTCATTCGAATCGCCTAACTGTTCAGCAAATAAACCCCATCCTTCAACAAAGCCATTAGTCACATATGGAAATAACTGACACAAATAATTGCTGTTCGATGAATTGAGCGATATATCGATTTGTAAGTGATGTCCAGGAATGGTTTCATGCAGTGTCAAATTTTCGACTTCATATTTAGCATTACCAGACTCCCAATCACATACCTAAAACAAAGCACAAATGTGTAATAGTAAACTTCACTACCGCAAACAGGATAAACGAATCAACCAGTATCGATAACATTCTTCAAGAAAAAATATGAGACTATTGTCTACTCACATTCAAATAAAACTTATTTTGATAATAGTAACCTCCGGCGAGTAGCGGATTGTCAAATACAAGAATATCTGGTTCATTGAATTCTTTGAAACCTTTCTCTTTAATGAAAATGTGTCTATATTTGGCTAAACATTTCTGAAATGCTTCAATCATTTCTTGTTTGGATGACCATACTTGACTTTGATCTGATTGTACTCTAGTCAGTTTTTCTTCCAATGTTAAACTTTTATCGTCATCAGCTAAATTTAATATTCTACCACAACAACATTCTAATTCAATCATCAAATGAGTCAAATGTTTTTCTCCCCATAGTTTAATCTTTTCAAACGTTTCCTTGAGATCTGTTGTTGGTAACTTTACACCCGTATGGTATTCAAATGCAAACTGATAAATTGATAGTGGATATTGTGACAGACCAGTTGATGGATGTGTGTCCCATTTAGAATCCGAAGATAATTTAATCAAATACTGTTTCAAACGATTCACCTCATGTGTAAATTGGCTAAAATAGTCATAAACAAAAAAAATAACGAGATAAAAGGATTGCACAGTTGTATTTACCTAAAATACTCATGATAAACTTGTTTATTTTTATCATTTAAATCTTGGTCGTCTAATGGATTAAAATCGAGAGCTTGGATAAATTTCTGTAACAAGATTTGATTGAAAAATGTTGCAGGTTTAATCAATGTTCCATCCTTCAACTTAAAGTCATTATCAAGCTGTTCTAATAAATTAATAATATGATCTGTAATCTG